GGGGCTCCTGCTGGCGCTGCTGCTGCTCCGCTGCGGGTCACTGCTGCTGCTGCTGCTACTGCTCGGGCTGCTGGGGCTCCTGTTCCTGCTGAGTCTGCTGGGACTGCTGCTGCTGGAGCTGCCGTAGATTTTGCTGCTGCTGCTGCTGAAGCTCTGAGTGCAGCAGCGGTTGCTGGTGTAGCTGCTATGGCTGTGGCTGCTGTTGCAGTGGAAGAACTTCCTTCTGCCGCTGCTGCTGTTGTTTTTGCTGCTGCTGGTGCCGGCTATGTAGGGGCTTGTGGGGAAGGGCCTGCTGCTGCTGCTTCTGCTGCTGCTACTAATTCCAGCAGCACCTGCTGCTGTTTAGGCTGCTGCCGCCGCCGCGCCGTTCTTGCTGCTGTTGCTACCGCTGTTGGAGCTTATCCGTTTGCTGCTGCTTCCACTACAACAGCAGCTAGTTTTGCTGCTGCTGCTCGTGCTGCTGCCGACACTATTTCCGCTGCTGTGTCCTGCTGCTGCTGTTGCTGTAGCTGCTGCTGCTGCTATTAGCTTGATTCGCCCCGACAAGAGTTTGCGTTTGCCCTATGCTGATGCTGCTGTTGCTGTTGCTGCCTCTGTTGCTGTTGCTGCTGCTGCCGTTGCTGTTGCTGCTGTTGCTGTTGCTGCGGATGTTGCTGCTGCTGTGCAGGTGTCTGTGCTGCTGGTGTTGCTGTCCTTGCTCAGCGACCACGTGCTGCAGCACCAGCTGATGCTACTGTTTCAGCTGCTGCTGCTGCTGCTGCTGCTGCTGGCTTCGTCGCTGCAGCGGCAAGTGTCGAAGCAGCACGAGCAGCAGCAGATCCTGGCGCCTTGCTGCAGCCCCTCCTGCCGAAGAACTCGGCTATATTTCGAGCATTTCGTCAAATTTATTCAAAGTAATTAATTTAATTTTGCAAATTTAATCCATTTGCATTATTTTATTCTCCCTTTCATCGTTCGGCAGTCACACGCGGGCCCCTCGGCCGCCGCGCTGGGGGCCCACGGACTTCATGCTTCAAATTAGATGAATTTTTATTAATTTTAATTTAATTATTTCCTTTTTATGTTTTTGGACTTTTGCTGCTTGTTTAGAACTCGCTGGACTGGGTAGTCAGCAGGGTGCTGCAGCAGCAGCAAGAATGCAAACAGCAGCAGCAGGAGCAACAGAGCCCGCAGCCCACGCTGCGGCTGCAGCAGCAGCAGAGGCGAGCGCAGCGCAACAGGTAGCGCCAGCAGCAACAGACGCAGCAGCAGCAACAGCAAGAACTGCAAGGGCAGCACCAGCAACAATCGCAGCCGCAGCGCCAGCGGATGCAGCTTCTGCCGCAGCAGAAGCACCGTCAAACGCAGCAACAGCAGCGACTGCAGCAGCAGATGCAGCAAACGCAGCAGCAGCAGCAGCAACAAATCCTGTGATGTCTGTTTGCTTCGACCCGCGCCTGCAGCGTCTAAGGGTGGTGGGGCGGCAGCAGCATTTCAAGGTAACGAGGGACCTTCTAACAGCTAGCCTAAGCATCCAGCAGCAGAAACAGCAGCAGCAGCAGCAGCAACAGCAGCAGCAGAAACAGCAGCAGGAGGAGCAAAAACAGCAGCAGGACGCTCAGGCGGCAGTCTCGTCGAGGAGCGAGCAGCAGCAACAGCAGGAACAAGCCGAAGGAGCGACAACAGCAGCAGCAACACCGCAAGCAGCCGCAGCAGCAACAGCAGCAGCAGCAGCAGATGAAGCAGGGCATTTTTGGGAACTCGATTTATCTCGCAATGTCTTGACAGAATTTGACTGGGGCGTAGCAGCAGCAGCGCTGCAGCAGCACGGCTTCTTCTCGCTTCCCGCAGCAGCACCGCCTCCAGCAGCAGCAGCAGCAGCAGCAGCAGCAGACAGACTCTGGTGTCTGTGTCTCTCTGCTAATGAACTCACGCGGCTGCCCAGCTTCTCGGGAGGCCCCCCGCTGCAGCAGCTGCGGGAGCTGCGGCTGAACTACAACAAAATTGCTGCTCTAGATAACCTTAGCAGCAGCAGCAGCAGCAGCAGCGGGGCCCCCGCAGCAGCAGCAGCAGCAGCGGGGGACTTTGTGGGGTTGCTTCCGCAGCTCGAGGTGTTGGATCTGAAATACAACAGACTAAAGACAATTAAAGGATTAAAACAAATACTCAACAACCACCCGACGCTAAGGACGTAAGGCCTGCTGCTGCTGCTGCTGTTGCTGCTGCTGTTGCTGCTGCTGCTGCTGTTGCTGTTGCTGTTGCTGCTGCTGCTGCTGTTGCTGCTGCTGCGTGGGCGGTATTGTTGCAGCTGCTATTGCTGCTCCTTCTATTGCTGCCTGTTCCTTTGGTGCAAGCGGGGCTGCATCGATGCTGCTGTCGCTGCTGCTGCACCTCTTCTGCTGCTGCTGCTGCTGCTGTGTAGTCTTTCTGTAGGCTGCAACAGAATCTGCTGCTTGCCAGCAGCAGATATGCCGCTGCTGCCTTCGCTCACTTCCTTTTCTTTATTTGACAATGCTGTGGGGGCCGAGCAGCAGCTGCAGCAGGATCAGCAGCAGCAGGAGGAGCAGCAGCAGGAGCAGCAGCAGCAGCAGGAGCAGCAGGAGGAGCAGCAGCAGCAGCATGAGGCGCTCTTTTCCGTTATCAACACACTGAACTGTTGTCTACCGATTCTGGAGGTGAACTCAAAACCCTAAACCCTAAACCCTAAGCCCTAAACCCTAAGTTGCATTGCCAAGCTCAAAGTGCTAAAGCCCCACAAGGCCTACTTGAAAACCCTAGCTCGGCTGCTGCTGCGATTGCTGCTGCTGCTGCTGCTGCTGCAGGAGCTTTACCTATTGGGAAACCCAATTGCAGATCTTGTGGACCAACGGGGTAAGCAGCTGCTGCTACTGCTGCTGTTGCTGCTACTCCTGCTGCTGCTGCTGTCGTGTTGTTGCTGTTGCTGCTGCTGCTGCTGCTAGAGCTGCCGCTGTCGTACTGCTGCTACTGCTGCTGCAAGAGCTGCTGCTACCCTGCTGTCGCTGCTGCTGCTGCTGCTGCTGGGTTAGTGCAGCACTTTAATGTGGCATTTTGATTTGCTGCAGAATATCGCGCTGCTGTTTCTGGGGGCCTCCCGAGGTTGCGCTTTCTTGACGGGAGCATCCTGCCAAGGTTTAGGGTTTAGGGTTTAGGGTTTAGGGTTTATGGCGGGCCTGCTGCTGCAACAAAGCCCTTTTTATGTCGAAGAAAAAGTTTTTTTTCGACAAACAAAAGGACAAAAAGAATTCAAAAAATGGATTTTGATGAGAATTAATTGAATATAGAATTAAATGCAAAAATATAAAATGAATAAATGAAGTAGAATTTATTTTTAAAAATTTCAAACTTTTCCAAAATTCGAAAAGTGTTTTAATTGGAAAAAGAATTCCAAAAAATGAAATTTTAAAAAAATTGAAAAATAGTTAAAGAAAAGCTCCTTCGATATGCATCCCGCAGAAAAAAGAAACAGAAGTGTCACAACTAGGGTTTAGGGTTTAGGGTTTAGGGTGTAGGGTTTGAACAGAAACGCGCCTTCACGCGCAAACAAAAGGCGACTTCAAAAACGCCACAACTTGAAAAAGAATTAAAATGAAAAAGGAAATAAAAAGCAATAAGGAGAAATAAAACTAAAATAATGAAATAAAATAAAATAAAATAAAATAAATCAAGAGAAATTAATTCCTCTTAGAGTTCTTTTAAATTCCCTTTTAACTCTTGCAATTTTTGCACTTTGCGAATTTTCTTGAGAAATTCTTTTCAGCACTTTTTTCATTTTTTGAATTTTAAAAATCTTTAAAAGTCTTTTTCAAAATTAATTTTTGATTTCTTCTTGAATTTTTTTTGAGTCTTTTCGAAATCATTTCAAGTTTGAAATTCTTTTGAGGGTTCTTTTTTGAATCTTTTAAATTCTTTTCGATTTCTTTCAAAAAGAGATAAAAGATATTTTAAAATAAATATTTGAATCATTTCAAATGTCCTTTAAATCTTTTTAAATTTTGCATTTTGCATTTTGGAGTTCCTTTTGAATCTTTTTGAATTCAACTATTTTGTCTTTTTCTTATCTTTGAGAAACATAAAAATGCATTTAAAAACATAGGTGAAATTAAATATATATAAATGGAAAAGATGAAAATTCGCACGCAAAGCAAAACAGTTTCTGCATGCTTACAGGTTGTTTGTGTGGGACGGAAGACATTTATTCTTGAATAAACATGTTTAATTATATTCATACCTATTTTATTTTATTTACTCTAAATTATGTTAATTTACTTTAATTTATTTTCATTTAAGTTAATTCAAATAAATGCAAATGTCTGCAGTTGAAGTTCCCTGAAAAAGATAGCCAGTCAAACCCCGCAAAAGTGACACCCAATTGAAAGCCCTCCAAAAGATAATTTAATTTGAAAATATGAAATAAAACAGCAGCAGCAACAGCAGCAGCAGCAGCAGCAGCAGCGGCAGATAGGCAGGGGCTGTGCCATGGGGCCCCCACCTCTCGGGGCCCCATGAAAGCCCCTGGGGGGGCCCCCGGTTTCTTTGGGGCTTAGAGTTGATTTAAATTTCATTAAATTCTTTTTAATTAAATTAAATTAAAATTATTTTATATTTCAGACTTTTATTTCCGCAGAAGACGCAGAAGTTGGACCCTGTTGGGGCCCCACACATGAGAGGGCCTCGAGGGTTTAGGGTTTAGGGTCTAGGGTTTAGGGTTTAGCCTTCTTCTTTGGCCAGAATGGCGGAAAAGCACAAAACAAACCCATCGCGAAGGCTGGGGAGCAGCAAGCAGCAACAGCAGCAGCGGCAGCAGCAGCCCAAGCAGCAGCAGCAGCGCCACAAGCAGCAGCAGCAGCAGCAGCAGCAGGGGCCCCACAGCCGGCCCTACTACACTCCCGTGTCTGTTCCTGCTGGCTACAAAAGCAGCAGATTAATAATTAGGAATTTGCCCCCATTTTTGACGGAAGAGGCGCTGCGGGAGCACGTTGCTGCTGCTGCTGCTGCCTGCAGCAGCAGCAGCAGCAGCATCACCTACTGCGCCATCAAGAGAAACAAAGAAGGCAAAAGCCGCGGAATTGCTTTTGTGGGGTTGGAGACAGAAGCTGCTGCTGGTGCGCTGCTGCAGCAGCTGCGGGGGACTTACGTGTACACCCGAAAGATAGAAATAGACTACGCGCTGCCTCGCACGTTTGTTGCTGCTGCTACTGCTGCGCCTGCTGCTGCTGCTGCTGCGGAGGCCGCGGCCAAGGCCGCGGCAGACACTGCAGCAGCAACAGCAGCAGCAGCAAAGGCAGCAGCAGCAGCAGAGTCCGGCAAGTGGAAGCACAAGGTGGTCCCAACTAAGGCGGGAGTTAAGGCTGAGAGGCGGCACGTTTTGTTTGACGATGCAGCAGAAGCAGCAGCAGTAGCAGAAGCAGCAGCAGCAGCAGAAGCAGCAGCAGCAGCAGACGAGGGCGCAGCCACGACCGCAGCAGCCCTCGCGGCGCTGCTGGAGGAGGACGAGCCGGACGACTTGGCGTGGCTGCAGCAGCAGCAGCAGGAGCAGCAGCAGCAGAAGCAGCAACAGCAGCAGCAGCAGCAGCAGCAAGAGCTGGAGCGGCAGCTGCTGGAGGCCCACGGGCGACTCTTAATTACCAATTTGCCCTACAGCAGCAGCGAAGAAGACGTGCGGTGTCTCTGCAGCGCAGCAGCAGGAGAAGCAGCAGAAGTTATTTTAATGAAAGACAAAGAAAGCAAAAAGTTCTTAGGAAGAGCTTTGGTGACTTTTGTGTTTGCTGAAGCTGCTGCTGCTGCGTTGCAGCAGCTCAACGGCATGGTCTACCGGGGGCGCATCCTTGCTGCTGCTGCGGCGCAGCCGAAGCAGCAGCAGCAGCAGCAGCGCGGGGGCGAGAAAACCAGCTTCAAGAAGAAGCAGCAGCAGCAGCGGCAGCAGCAGCTGCAGCAACAGCAGCCGCACAAGGCCTGGAACCTGCTGTACGTGCTGCCGTCAGCAGCAGCAGACGCAGCAGGCGCTGCGCTGGCGGTCTCGAAGCGCGACTTGCTGCTGCAGCAGCAGCAGCAGCAGCAGCAAGCCACGCCTGCAGCAGCAGCAGCACTTGCAGAGGCCCACGTGCTGCAGCAAACCAAAGAATGGATCGAAAGAGAAGGCCTCATTTCTGCTGCTTTCATTCGCAGGGGCGCAGACCCCATGACAGCAACGTACGACGCAGCAGCAGCAGCAGCAGCGGGACCAGCAGCAGCAGCAGCAGCAGCAGACACCGAACGCAGCAAAGACACACTCATCGTGAAGCAGCTTCCTGCTGCTCGAGTCGAAGCAGCAGAACTTTTTAATTTGTTTCGAAGACACGGAGAGATTTTGCGTTTTTGTTTATCTCCTTCGAAGACTTTGCTGGTGGTGCAGTTTGCTGCTGCTGCTGCTGCTGCTGCTG